TAACTGCCGGTCAATTTTATCGAATCACAGTGTAGTACCAAATTGGATTATAGGACATCTTTGTGTAATCCTGGATAAAAATCTATATCATACATCATACTTGTGAGAATTTTTTTTTATATTTATAAAGCTAATTCTTGATCTTTTGTGAACCACAAATGTACTGCATTAAGACCCATTGAACTAGAAAACTTAGATCCAACTAGAAAAGTAAGACTCATAGGACTAGAAAACTAAATCCAACTAGAAAACTAAGGGCCAACTACAAAACTAAGACCCATTGAACTAGAAAACTAAGATCCAACTAGAAAAGTAAGACTCATAGGACTAGAAATACTAAGATCCAACTAGAAAAGTAAGACTCATAGGACTAGAAAACTAAGATCCAACTAGAAAACTAAGATCCAACTAGAAAACTAAGACCCATTGAACTAGAAAACTAAGATCCAACTACAAAACTAAGACACATAGGACTAGAAAACAAAGACCCAACTAGAAATCTAAGACCCATTGAACTAGAAAACTAAGATCCAACTAGAAAACTAAGACCCATAGGACTAGAAAACTAAGATCCAACTAGAAATCTAAGACCCATTGAACTAGAAAACTAAGATCCAACTAGAAAACTAAGACCCATAGGACAAGAAAACTAAGATCCAACTAGAAAACTAAGACCCATTGAACTAGAAAACTAAGATCCAACTAGAAAACTAAGACACATAGGACTAGAAAACAAAGACCCAACTAGAAATCTAAGACCCATTGAACTAGAAAACTAAGATCCAACTAGAAAACTAAGACACATAGGACTAGAAAACTAAGATCCAACTAGAAATCTAAGACTCATTGAACTAGAAAACTAATATCAAACTAGAAAACTAAGACACATAGGACTAGAAAACAAAGACCCAACTAGAAAACTAAGACCCATTGAACTAGAAAACAAAGACCCAACTAGAAAACTAAGACACATAAGACTAGAAAACAAAGACCAAACCAGAAAACTAAGACCCATTGAACTAGAAAACTAAGATCCAACTAGAAAACTAAGACCCATAGGACTAGAAAACTAAGATCCAACTAGAAAACTAAGACCCATTGAACTAGAAAACTAAGATCCAACTAGAAAACTAAGACCCATTGAACTAGAAAACAAAGACCCAACTAGAAAACTAAGACCCATTGAACTAGAAAACTAAGATCCAACTAGAAAACTAAGACCCATTGAACTAGAAAACAAAGACCCAACTAGAAAACTAAGACCCATTGAACTAGAAAACAAAGACCCAACTAGAAAACTAAGACCCATAGGACTAGAAAACTAAGATCCAACTAGAAAACTAAGACCCAACTAGAAAACTAAGACCCATTGAACTAGAAAACAAAGACCCAACTAGAAAACTAAGACCCATAGGACTAGAAAACTAAGACCCAACTAGAAAACTAAGACCCATAGGACTATGAAACTAAGACCCAACTATAAACAGAAGAAACATTTTTTTTAATTTGGATTACAAGTTAGTATAAGTGTTCATAGCTTTTCGTCAAAATTTGAGCCTTTAAATCCATGTATGTTCAAAATTATTCGCGTTTGAAAGTTGAATTACGAAACTAAGACCCAACTACAACCTGAAGAAACATTTTTTAAAAACTTGTTTTACTAGGTCGAGGCATAGAATTAGGGGACTAGCCCCTTTAAAGGCAGACTGTGAAATCCTAGTTATCAGGTCAAATGTATTACAGAATATTTGGTAAATTAATCATTTGCCATATTGATTTCTTCAATTTAGTTCGTTCATTCGTATGATATGGCACCTTTACAGGGATGGTTAAAAAGTGTATCGGCAACACTGATAGCATCATTTTGCACCATTCCAGTTCCAAGTCTTCTATTCTCAGCTCTATTTTCAGCAATTTCTATCTAAAATTGTGCTATTTTATAAAGTTTTAGGAAGTGTCGTTCATATTTGAGAGTAGCTAGTTTTTAAATGCTATTTTAGAAAATTTTCAAAATTAAAAAGATAAGCCAACAAAAAAATGAAATAACATAGGCCTACACATATAGAATATGAGAACTTCAAACAAACTTTTTTTTTTTTTAATTATTGTTTATTATTATTATAAACATCAATACAACTTTTTTTTATTTATATTCATACAAACAAAATACAATATACAGTATAACAAGAAATATATTTAAAAACAGATACAGTTTTTACTTGGCATTGGAACTTCTAGAAAAGGATGGATTCGTGGATTTGTATGTGGGTGATTAATATTTTACTTTTTTTGTATGTATCTATGAAGTTGTATATAGATATATTCATTTTGATATTTCATTTTCATTTTTGGTAATTTCAATGTTGGTTTTTCTATTTAGTTTCATTTGGTATTTCACCTCTTACTTCGCTTTGGTAAATAAAGTATTTTGTGGATTTCATTGCTGTCTATGATTTCAAGTAGCTTGCTCCAGAGTAAGAGAGCTTGTTCGAGTATGTACGCATTGAATATATAAATGATCTATTGTTGCTATGGTCAACATTGTTTCAGCTATTTTGAATATGAAAAGTGGTATTGGTATAAATAATTTTATATATATATCTGTTCTGAAAATGTCTAGTTTTTTTTATCCAAACAATAATTATATAAAATTCAAAATATTGAATAAATATCGTTTTCATGTAATGTGATATTCAAGTCATCTTCCCATTTAATAATTGAGTTTGGCTTTATGAATTTAGCATTGATACGTTTTTCGTAGAGGTTTTTGGTTTTATTGTATCATAGGTGGTGTGGTAGAATTTGGTCAAATTGTTTGCGATATCTTCCTTGAGTTGTATAATTTGTAGAGACAGAGATAGAGACAAGAGGTTTATTTTCGTTGTAAGTTTTAATGCGGCACCTGTTTTCTGAAAAGCATTTTTGTAACCTTTTACTATAAGATTTTCAGATTCAGTAAGATTATGTTGTGAGTTCGATATGAAATCCGATATATTGTGAAAATTTTATTTTATTAGGTTTGATATTATGTTATTTGTGGATTTGATATTTATATGTTTAATTCGATAGGCAATTTTACTTTCTACTTCAATTTGTTTATCTATAATTTTGTTGTATATCTCATACTAAATTAAATACATTTGTTTATAAATGGAGATATAAATATTATTGTGTCTTTTTGGAAGTTACTCGATGCCAAAACAAAAGGATTATAAGGTTCTAAACTTGTTTGTAAGTTCGCCATCCAATTTTGATTCCTATTTCTGAGAAGCATTTTTTAAATCCAAAACAGAGATTTGCAAGCCGGATGTTCTCGTAAGTTTAGCATATTTAAGCAACCTTTGAACTTGTTTTGATAGATCTATTTGCTTTTAAATTTGTCTGGGCCATAAAAGTTTTTGAGATTGGATTGAATTAACCTAACATCGAACAACGACTGGGAAAATGAAAAGGGCATAATGAAAAGAAAAAAAAACAATAATTTTTTTTTATGTTTTTATGTATTATTGATACAAAATTGTTTCTTGTACTTACATGGTGATGAGTTGTCTTAAATACATAGAGAATATTAAATGCAATCTAATGTCGGTTTAGAGTAAGCATACCCTGAAACCAAATTAATGCATCACATCATTCTTAAATCATCAGCATGTCCGTCATGCAGGCTTAACATAAGTGTTGGTGAGGGAAATGGTCAGAAAGGGGATATCAGATGAAAGCTATAATGTTGTGTAGGGTAAGCATACTCAGAAACGTCTTTATTCAGTCTTAATCATAACAGTCATGTTAACGGGTCTGAAGAGGGGCGACGGTACTTCATACTCCTAGAATACTCTGAGCCCTATGTTTAATTCTACCCCTAGAACCCAGTACCTAGCTGAGCCCTATTTTTAATTCTACTCCTAGAACCCAGTACCTAGCTGAGCCCTATCTTTAATTCTACTCCTAGCACCTTGCCCCTATCATTAACATTTAAATTGCTAAAATTCCTACTCCTAGCACCTAACTGATTCCTGTCTAACTCTGTAAAGGGACACTACGTCTTAGAATAAACATAAAATTTAAAAATTTAAAACTTAGCCAATGAGTGCATATATTCATCAGTAGATATACCTGGTGTCATAAATAACATAACAGGGTCTTTATATAATCCGATAAATCCAAAAACGTATAAAAAATGCAATTAACTATTGAAAAACACTTAATATTATGATTAAGCGTTTTTCAATAATTACTTAGTTTCACGAATTTTCCAATTTTCTAGATTTTACAGGGATTCTATTGTAACTTTATGACACCAGGTAAGTTCACTGATGAATATTTACTCATATTGAACATTCTTGAGAATTAAATTTTATGTTCATTCTAAGACGTAGTATCACTTTAAAATTTAAATTACTAAAATCCTACTGTTAAGTGTAAAGTAAGTTATAAAAAATATTAGGAAAGATGGAACAAGTTAATGGAAGTCTAAATTATGAAAACATAAAAATCATATTACTCAGTGAAAATCAAAATTATGAAAAATGTTACTCGGTGAAATTTAAAATTATGAAAATGGAAAAATCGTATTACTCGGTGAAATTCAAAATTACGAAAATGGAAAAAGAAACTACTCAAGAAAAATAACAATCGTGATCCGTGATCACGAAAACTAAAATACTTAAAAAAAAATAGCAAATATTACCCCTTTACCTAACAATTAGATATAAGTCCTATCTGTTAAGAATTGGTTACATTCTTCGTTTATTGGGGCCCAATAAACGACCGAGGGAACCATACAAACGACCAAAGGAAGCAGATGAGCGTCAAAGGGAAAGAGATGGAATTTTAAAATAAAAGATTCTAATAGTTTCGGGAATTTCGGGGTTAACATTTGGGGTTTGAGTTATTATTAGTATTTGGCCACCACCGCAACAGTGCATGGAAAAATGAGAAAGGAAAGAGTTAAAGATTGGGGGGCTCATCCCACTTCTGAAGGTAGTTACAATAGCAGCTTATGTATTAACAACGGTTCTCAACCTAACCCTAATATACTGGAACATATTTGTTATGATTTCCATAAATTTTAATGTTCCTGTAGGAAGCAGTGTTATTCTTATATTTTTCAGATTTTTCAGATTATGGATTTTCATTTCATAAACTCAAGTTATATTGTATTTAAACTAATTGCACAAACAATACTCTCTCACTATACGACAAACCTACACGTCTGTAATTGCTAACTATTCTCAAAAATACTCGACTCCAATTAAAACTTTCTAAAATAGCCTCTATAATAGCTAGCTATTCTCATAAATAACCGACACTAAATACAACTTTCTAAAATAGCGCAATTTAAGCTAGAAATAGCTGAAAATAGACTTGAAAATGAAAAAAAAATTGTCCAAACTTCCGATTCGGATATTTCAAGCTAATATTTTTCTATTTAGAAAAAGAATGAAATTAAGTCCTACCATATTCTTTTGTCTAAAATAGAGGCTATTTTAAGAATATTCTTGAGCTATTCTATTCTATTATAAGTGATTCTGCATCTACGTCTACAATTTCCATACCACTGCAATTTCTAATTTAATAATCCAAATAAGATTCCCGTAAATCATTTTAAGTCGTAGCATCGGTAACATCGGCTCGGATAATTGAATAAATCAATACCCCAATTTATCATGTAGACATTGACTATAATTATAGCCTTATGGTCCGTTTTCTTCAACTAATATGCGGAAAAGAAAAGCCAGACTTATCATTTTACTGGTGTCTAGGATAATTTTAAAGTAAGTGGATTATTTCCCATATAGTGAGCTCTCGCAGGCGGAGGTGCAAATAGTTGTATATTCACGTGATATTATGTAATTGTAAACAAACCTTGTGACTTTATAGTTGAATTCACAAGGAAACTTTAATATTTAGAATTAAAAGTCAACTTGCTTCCTGTCACACGAGACTTAACCGATTTAATTAATTAGAAACGGCCGTAAAGTTCCTGGGTATGAAGTTATTTTGTATTTAATATAATGAAAAAATTCTTATGGATTACAATTACTAACTTTATTTAAGCGACGCTTCGACCAGTGTTCTCAGGTCTTTATCAAGCAATGAATAATATTACAAAGATTAACAAAAGAGAAAACAACATTTGTAAATGAAGTTTGTAAATACAGCTATTTGATTGTATTGTATGCTACTGATTACATGATATGGCAATTCTTAATGAATGAAAGTACAGAAATTTAAGGCATATAAAAAAAGTTCAGAAATACATTGCATCAAAATGTTTTCATAGGTTTTTACTGCCTTTTTCAACGGTTCAGACGCAGAAACCACAACATTCGCCAATAGTTGTCTTCTGTGGCTTAATTATTATTAAAGTATGATTAAATTGTGTATAGGGCTGGCTATCTATTACTAGTGATCATTGAAGACAGGCTATCGATCAATAATCTATTAATAATCGAAATATCTCTGTGCCCTGTAAATACCAAATAAAAAATATGCCAATCATGTCATATCATGTTATGTCCTTCAAATTTAATAATATAAATATATTGATTTGAATGATTATTATACTTTATTGTGGGTAGGCTAAATTATGTGCTGAAGGTAAACTTTGAGGAAGAGTTTAATACTGACTGATACGACGACTCATTGAAATTTTAAAATCATTGAGATGATAATCGATTATTTCAATTATTTTCCTAGCCCTAATTTGATACCAAGTTATTCATTCAAATGTAATTTTATGCAATCATAATTGAATTTCAGGTATTAATTAGAACATCTTTAATATTTTCATCTGCTGTCAGTAAAATATATCTTCTAAATCTATGTACAGTGACTAAGCACATTGTCTGTAGGTCAAGTTGTTATCTTATGGTCATATGTATGTAGGTTGTTGAGCAGACCAAACAGTTGATAATCATATGTGATTACAGGTACATCATTTTATCCAATTGGCCATATAGCATTATATTTATTATCTGCATTGTATACTTAAACAAAATCATCATGGTGTTCTCAGATGGGTTAGCTGTTAGCACATAACAATGGGTTGGAAAATTACATTGGTGATGTGCTGGTAATGCAACACTTATTTAAAATAAGTAGACCTAGTATAGTGTGATTGTCCTGGTCAAAATGACCTCCTTTTACACTGCTTCAGGTATCTTTTCTTGATACTTATGATCTTAACTATATGCAGAAAACTCAATATTTATTTCATGTGGATCAGGGTTAGAACATGAGTTGATGTAGGTCAAGGTTTCACCTCGTCAGTGAGTCATGTTGGAGATGCAAAGAAGGAAGTGAGGTGTTATGCTGTTGCATGACAAATATACTTGGTGAGTTGGAAATCAAAAGATTATGTGAGTTTTTTTTTTAGAAAATGATTCCTCTCTGACTTTTATTTTGTGAAGTAATATATCTAACCTTTTGTTCATAAGTGTCAAATAAGTGGGGGAAATAGGAGGTGAAATGAATATAGTATTCATATCAAATTTTGATTTACAAAGTAAACAGTAAACCAACTTCATATACAGTATTACTGCAGAAAGGATGTTCAATTTGATTTTTCTCATTCTTCCCGCTTTGTTACCAGCAGCCATTTCACCATGGTTTAATCTAGAGCATACTTCAAGGGATATAATTCTTACAGATAAGATATTAACACATTTTTATAAAGTTATAACTTAGTGATCAAAATATTTATTATTGATTTTAGCTGAGACTAGTTTAAAGGAATATTTCTCTTCTTATACAATTTTCAAATATTAGAGATTTCAAAAGACAGAAGGCTGCCAAAACAAAAATTACTGGTTGCCATAGCCAAAAGGAAAAAATCTAAGTCTAAGTATGTGTTTTTTTTTAGTTCAAACATTTTAACCCCTATACAAAATCAGAAAAATATTTAATATGAGTTATTGACTTTATTCTTGAAAACGTATTCAAGTTTAGCTCGTAAACAATCAAGAAGGCACAATTCTTGATGCAGTTCGACAAATCTTGGTGTGATTGTTTGTAATCACCCAAGAACGAATCCTATTGAAAATCAAAAGAATCAAAAAATATTTAGTGTGAGATATGGAATAACAACATAAACAAATAGATGAGAACATCCATACCTCCGTGTCTTTAAATTTTATACGCCCAGATGAAAAATTTTGCACCCAAGTCCGTCTACAATTACACTCTACAATTTTTGATGGATTTTGACAAATCTTGGTGTGTTTATTATCACCCAAGAATGAACTCTATTGAAAGTCAGAAACACTGAAAAAATATGTGGTATGAGCACTAGTTCTTGAAAATGTGTTTGCAATTTTCAGCTCGTTCATACTCTAGAAGATACAATTCGTGGTGGATTTTGATGAAACTTGGTGTGAGATTTTGTAATCACTCCAGGATGAACCCTTTTGAAAATCAGATAAATTGAAATATATTTAATGAGTTATTTCCCTTGTTGTTGGAAACACATTCAATTTTTTAGCTTGTAAACACAATAGAAGGCACACTTCTCGATGGATTATGATGAAACTTGGTGAAGTTGTTTATTATCAAACATTGAAACTGCAGAAATTCAGGTTCAACAGTAAGAAAAGAAAGAAAGAAAGAAACAGCTATATTTTACAAGGATAACAACTTAGGTTCACAGTTAAAGATTCTTTCTACCATCTGATCCTTGTTTCAAAGCTCTTGGCATTGATCTTTCCCGGATTATCAGTACCCATTTACAACTGGGTCGACTGGAATTATGAGTTAAGATGACTTCTTCAAGATCATCAGATTTCACACACTTGATTGAGATCGGAACCCACAGCCACCATTAATTGACATAAGGAAGCAAATGTAAAGAACCCATGCTCTAACCAACTGTGCTAGTGAACTTAATTGATGTGTTTATCTCATCATGATAAAAACTGTATTTGTAAATGTCAGTCCTATCTGAAGGACTTCAATACTGAGATGTTTTTCAGGAATGTTATCTTTAAATGTAAACAATTAATTTGATTGGATGATCTTGTTTATTTTTCTAGGGTAGATATAAAAGAGGATCACCATGTCTGGACAGAACAGTTCTGTGGAGAGACAACCTCTGTTGTCACCAGCCACTATCACAATGAACGACCAACAGAAATCTTCCAATGTTTATGATAATCCAGGATATACTGGATCTAATGATATTGTCAAACATAAAGGATTTGAGAAATCTAAAGGAGTAACAAGTAGTAAAATATTAGTAGTCGCTAGTATTTTAGTCACTGAATTATGTGAACGATTGACTTTCTATAGTGTATCAGCTAATATGGTGTTATATTGTACTAGTGTGTTAAAATATTCAGATCCTGATGCTACTTCTATTAGTTTAGTTTTCTCAGGTTTGTATAAAATTACTTGGTGCAAATGATCTTTCTGAGAAATCTGTAATCATTAGATTTGACTAGATGCTTCCCAATCTATAAGCTTCATGCTAAAATAACTGACGATTTTGTTAAGTAAAAATCTTATCTAATGCATGGAAAAATCAAGAGTAAAAGTTGTATACTGGTAGACCCCTTTCAAAAAGAAGTGCCTGCTTCACTTGCAACACTCATCACTACTATTATTTCAACATTATGAAAATCTTTATTTTGTTAGAGATCTGTGTAAATTCAATAACACTTCTGGTAGTATCACTAATGGGAATTGGCATGCTCATCATGTCAGAACAGCTGATGTAATGCAATAGTATGAATGTAATTGCAAACTTTACATCTCTTATTAAGGTCCCACTTAACTATAAATGATTTTGATAATTATTTGAAAGTCATCTTACCAGGATGTACTAGTTTGTTATCTAGTGAAATACAGTGCTTTATTTTATAGATAAAATATATCATATTCTTCATATTGACAACTTTACAATTTATATCTGATATCTTCTAGATAAACTAGCTTATTTATTTATTTAGTCACTTTTTTATTGAAATGTACAGGGGCGTGTATATAGAGCTTTAGGTGGGGGCCACATTATTGTCGAGGGGGGCAATAGCACAAGGTATTTTGGAACTCAATGGTTTGACATTTGAAACTGGGGGGCGGGGGGGTTGCCAAACGCTGTGGTAGCCAGATAAAACACCACCGACTTTAACTTTGCTCTGTGTACTTTACCTTTCAAATAAGACTACTAAATCAACCTTGTTACATGATTGGTTAGTTGGTAAAATTCTTAAAGGTTTGATATTAGAAATATGTTTCGAAAGTCATAGGACATGGTAGTTATCAACACTGTATCTTATATCCTACTTTGATATTATTTGTATTTTCAGGCACAGTATATTTGCTACCAATTATAGGAGGTTATATAGCAGATTCTATGGCTGGAAGGTTTAATACCATATTTGGTGCTGGATTGATCTATCTTCTGGGTAAGTTTTAATATTGATAATTACCAGTATTATATCTTTGGTATATATCACTGGCATTGATCAGAATAAACAAATTATATCACCCATTGGCAAATAATGGACTTATATTTTTCTTATGTACCTTTTAGAAATTCCATTGGCTATATATGTAGGCCTACATCGTAGCTTGCTCAACCAGAAGTGCTGTATAACCCAAAAAGCATTTGGTCCAAACTCCAAATACTTAGCCAAGTCTTACTACAATTTACAACATAAAACAATATTTAGTACAGATTCAAAGATCAGCTCAGACATTTTGTTTCTGGTTCATGTGGTGAGTTCCAAGACAATTCCCATCATAGTATAAAATAAAAAAGGGTATAAAATATTTTAAATTTTATTTCAGGTTTATTTTTGATCCCAGCGTCTGCTGTAGATTATTCCAGTATATTTGGTACAGATGAAGATGGAGCTAGATATGATTTAACTGTGGTAAGCCAGGAAATCAATATTTTATTTCTTTACAAACAAATTTTAAGTCAGTCCTACTAAGATTTCTTCATTTTTCAGCATTTATTTCATCAATGTTCTACTTATGCTATTCTTATAGTACATTTCTGTATTCAGGAAGGTAGAAGAGCATATTTTCTTGCTGGATTAGTTCTAGTTGGAATTGGTACAGGTGGTATTAAAGCTAACGTTAGTCCTTTTGGTGCTCAACAAGTAGAAGATCTTGGAGAATCTGCTGTTCAATCATTTTTTAATTGGTAAGAAAGTACAAGTAGTCCAATAAATAGGGTAACTGTGAAACATATAGAACTCCAATTCCATTTGATTTGAAAGAAGTAAGATCATCAAACATTAAGATGACATTTATATTCTTAGGACCTACTTCTTGTTTCCATCCTACAAGAAAAACAATTTCAATTATGTAAGATAAAAAGAATGGACCTTATATTTTAGGTTTTATTGGTTTATCAATGCTGGGGCGATGATTGCTTATACTGCTGTAGCTTATGTTCAACAAGAAGTTAGTTTTGCTTGGGGATTTTTTATTCCTCTAGCTAGTATGGTGTTAGCCTTGATTATATTTCTTTCATTTCGTGGTCAATATACTCATTCACCACCTACAGGTATAGTATACAGCATATACATGTATTTATAACTAAAAACAGATAACTAAGTATAATGTGTAAGCATCATATGACGAAGAGAAAAAATATACAAAGTTTGGACTATAGAACTTCCAAATAGAAAGATTTTAGTCCTGTTACTTTGACTTTTATTACTTTATTAGAAGCTTCAGTTCTGTGGATCTTGCCTATAATTTAAACCATCTGAATGAAATGAAATAATGAAGACTGGTAAAATTTCTTTACAGGAAGTGTTTTAACTACAGTATTTAAAGTTTGTCGTCAAAGTTGTAAAAGAAAAGCACCATCAGAAGGTGGAGAGAAGAGATTTTTTGATGGAGCTAGAGATAAATATGGTGGTAGTTTTAGTGACTATATAGTAGATGGTATTATTTGTGTTTTGCGCGTTGTTCCTATATTTTCTATGTTAATTATCTATTGGGCTATATATTCACAGGTAAGTACTCTGATTTCATATTATATTTAAGATTTCTAATAATGCCCACCCAAGATAGGTCAACTTTATCCAAATACAGTCACTTTAGTTTAATTTTTAAATGAAATATGAGGATTTACCAAATTAGATATTTAAAACGCATTCTATTGATCAAAGCCTGCTTGATCTATTACTTTGAGGCATGTGAAAGAAATAACTTGTAAAGCAAATTATAAGAAACACCTGAAAGCCAGCAAGAGTAATAAGTGATTTATTCTAGGAAATATCTTATATTTGTGTAAATTTTAGATGCAGTCAACATTTTTTCTTCAAGCTGAAAGAATGGATGTTCGTGTTGGTGGAAAACCCATACCAGCTGCCATGTTGAATGTGTTTAATACGATTATTATTATTATTTTAATACCACTGGTAGATAGGGGTATTTACCCACTTTTCCAGAAATGTGGCAAACAAATAACCCATTTACAGAGAATGGGTGTGTATTGATATTTATATCTTATGTGATTTCAGCCATTTTAATCATTTACAAAATCGAGCAATGCAATGATCGTAGTTAAAAATACCTGATATTAAAGAGAATAACCTATATATTTAAGTATTATCAATGGACTTTCTAAGGCACATTATTAAAATTAACTACTCAAAAATAAAAGATAACTTGCCAGGCAAGTTAACATATGCCCACTGGCAGCTGTCAAAAATGATAAAACAGTCTTTAGTAAATAAAGTATGAATTTTGTCATATTAAAGAAATTTTTTTAGTTTGAATTCAATGATATATTTATTTACTGCCAGTTATTTAGGCTGAGTGATTCCACCAAATTTTTTAAAATCAATTTCAATAACCCAAATACATCAAATTATCTCATCAATATACAAGATCACACCATGTTGTATTAAAATCAATTGAAAACTGTAGTCTGTATTGTGTTCACAAAAAAAATTTTGACACGTTTTTCCTAAGTCAAGGGCAATAACTCAAAAACCGTTCATCGAAAGATCATCAAATTCGAATTTTACCAAGATCAAATCAATATAAATAACACCGAATTTCATTAAAATCAGCTGAGAAACTGTGTCTCTATAGTGTTCACTAACAAATGTTGACGCGTTTTTCATAAGTCAAGAGGAATAACTCAAAAACCATTCACCGATAGATCGTCAAATTTGAACTCGACTAAGATCTCATCAATATTTATGATCACACCAAATTTCATTAAAACCTCCAAATAATGCAAAGATGGTGTTCAAAATCTTGAATCACTCAATCACCTTCAGTTGATCTGAAAAGAAAAAATGTGTCTAGTATCAGGAAATATTGAAAGTTTTATAGCTGTGGATTACTCCAAGTCAGCCTACAAACTTTTCAGCCCCACCTTGTATCTGTCTAGATTTACAAGACATGTACAGAAAATATCTCTGTTATTGTTGCAGGAATTGGTATGATATTAGCTGCTTTGTCTGTAACTGTGGCAGGAATCGTAGAAATATATAGAAAGAAAGATTTAGAAACTAATGGAGGATTTATTCAAGAATTAGCTGATAAGAATTTTAATGCGTCTACTTTAAGTGTATTCATACAAGTACCACAATTTGCTTTAGTTGGTGCTAGTGAAGTGTTTGCTAGTGTTTCAGGTCAGTTCAAGGGACACTACCAACTTTGGAATAGATTATATCTAGTGACAAAACATATAGTTTTATATTCAACACAATATCTGAATAAGCTTGGAGAGTATCTTTGAAAGTATACCATAAAATACAGATGATACTGTGGTGCTGTTTTTTAGTTGATCAAAAATGCAAGGTTCCTGATAGTGTAAATTTGACTGTTCATTGACTATCTTATGCTTACCTTTGCTTTCAATTTTTGTATTCACAAAATATTAAAAAGTATATTTAATTTTATTACAGGTCTAGAATTTGCATTTACTCAAGCCCCTCAATCCATGCAGGGTTTTTTAACAGGATTATTTTATGTAGCATCAGGATTAGGAAGTTATGTGGCTAATGCTATTATTAAAATTATAGAAGTTTCTACCAAATCAGGTAAGACAATAGTTGGCATTTAGAGCTCAGACTGGCTATCTTTGCTGCAGTAGGGATTGAATCCACAGCACCTACTAATCCAGCAGTCTGTATTAAATTTAGTGACAAAGAACAAAGAGTTATCTGACGCTGTCAGGACAAAATTACTCAGCATATATAGATTATTGTTTACAGACTTTCTGTCCAGGACTGATTGGTTGTATTCACTAGTGTGCAATCCAAGCAAATCACTGCAGTTACTTCCATAATATAATAAAGATAGCTATTGCAGTCAAGGTATATGACTAAGTTCCTTATAGCTTGAAATTGTGAAGGTGCTGTTTAGATGTTTCCATCCACTTTATTTTTCTTTCTAGATCCATGGTTTCCTAAAGATATCAACAATGGTAAAACAGAATATTTATATTTTGTATTAGCTGGTATAATGGGTGTTAATTTTATTGTGTTTGTGATAATAGCAGTTCATTATAAATATCGTGTTCAACAACCTCTAGTATCAATACCTGATGATGCTATAGAAGATATTAATATTACTATTGATGTAAAAGATTTTAAAAATGGAGGACCAACAGACTATAATTCTATCGATGCACAGAATACCAAATTGTGATTGAATATAACTGTGATATAAACAAATATTCCTTGTCAACATTCTGAAGAGTTTAAATACATAATGAATACAGAAACACACAAGTTACAGTCACAAAACACTTATTGGAACCTCATGTTGGCCTTATCTAATTAAACCATAGGCATAATTGTTTCATTGTTAAAATTTGGACCATGTTTACCAGCATAAGTTAAGCATTAATATATTATTATACCGTTCAGTTTGTAAGCATTGGCTTTGATGTAAATTTAGCTGAATGTAATAACAATCTACTCGTGTCTAAAATAAGCAGACTGAAAATATAACATCTTTTTACTTCACATTCCTTCAGATATCATTTGGATATCAAACTTTGTTATCATTCTTTATGCTTTAATAAAGATATTTGTTATTTTTTTTAATAGCTTGTTTGCAAGTTTGTTGACATTTTGTGGGTTTACTAACATAACTTTTTTTATTCATTTTTATATTCTTTGATTTTATATATTACAAAATTGAAATTGAAATTTATATTTTATACAATTTATTGTTGTTATATTTGATAGTTAAGTATTTGATAGAATTGATAATACTGAATAATAAGGTGTATATTGCCCAGTGATATTTATTTTAATTATACATTGATTCAACGAATATCAAAACCAAGAATATAATTCATTTAAAATTTTATTCATCTTTATATGTATTCATGTCAGTCAAGTTGTACATTTTGCTAAGATGATTTTTTTGTTCATTCTGTATTTGATAGTGCTGTATTGATCTGTATGACACTGTTTGATTAAATGAGTCTGTTTTGAAGAGTTTTCACAACCATGAGAATTAGTTAAAATCTGACAATGTGTGTTCAAATAACGGATTGAAATCAACTGCTGAAATTACAGTAACAGCTTTTTAGATGCAATATGAAATGTATTAATAAATGATGATTTGTTGAATTTCACATTAATAATTGTTTTGTCATTATTCTTATTTAAAAAATGTGCTATTTTGTTGTTTTTGTTTTGCTTTTGACTTTTTTTGTAAAGTTAAATTATTTTTTTTAAGGTAGCTTTATATTTCATATTAAAAAGTAAGAAAGGCTTTTTTATGTTAATTTCGATTTTTCAGAACTGTACAGTTGTTGTCTCAGTGTGGTTCTTCTTATGCCTTGAAAATAAATACATAGCCTTATTTTTGTATAATTTGATGAAAATTTGTTTTTATTCAATGTTCCAAGGTTATGTTAACTATTATTCTTAGGTGTTCATGCATTCGTTTTGATTTCACAAGCTGATATTGAATTTCTCTTTCTAACATGTTTCATGTCATTATTTATTTACTAAACAAACATTGTATTAAACATGGGATTCACACCACTCAGAATTCTCCTTATTTCTAAATCCAAATTGGTCATTAAAGAATTCTAATGAGACTAAATCTACATTGGTTATTTAAAAGTTGTAATGAGACTAATACCTCATTACTCATTTAAGTTCTAATGAGACTATGAAAATAGATAATATTGAACTCCTGTTAGTAGATCTCAGCAGTAAGGTAACTAGACTTGAATGTGATAAATCGAGAAAAACCATGAAAGTACTGATAAAAACGTTACTTAAATGCAAGAAACTATTGATAGGCTTGATGAGTTAGTGTGTGTGTAAAAGACAGTCTTAAGTCGAATAACGACAATTTGCAAGAAACTGTGCTCGATCTTCAATGTCGTCCAATGAAAAACATTTTGATATTTTATGGTTTAGTGAAACGCGAAAACGAAGATTGTGAAAAGCTTTTAAGAGAATTTATATACTATGAGTTAGAAATTGACTATGAAATCGAATTTGGAAATGTGCACAGAATTGGTAGATGGAAGGACGGTAGACATAGACCAAAAATAGCTAGATTTATCTACTATGGAGATCACGGTGAGAAATAGTGCTTTTAAACTTAAGAACAGGCCGTGAGGCATTGGTCAACAATTCCCTGCAATCATCGAAGAGAAAAGAAATAAATTATATCCTATCATGAATAAATTTAAGCATGAGGGAAACAAAACGAAATTGGTTAGAGATAAATTATTCATAAATGGTAGGGAATATGTCTCTAACGCAACCGAAACTCCACCGGAGGAAATCCCTATTCATGAGACTAACGTTGCCCCATTCCAATCAAGAACAATGGATTACAGTTTTAACCAACCCAGGCCCTATTATCAAAACGGTAGGAAGAGAGCCCCATAACTCGTCTTCATCCAACGAAGCAACACCAGTTCATAGGAATTCGAGGGGAGTAAAATCTCTGTCATATCCTGGAATGTCGGAAAAGGTCTGTGCGAGAAACTGAAAGACAATGACTTTGTGAATTTCATTAGTAAATATAATCTAATACTATTATATATTATGAATGTTGGAGAAAAGAACATGATGATATTTGTCTAAACAACTATGAAACGGTCTCCTTTCCGAGACTGAGTGGAAGGGGAGGGGGTATTGTGATATTTATTCATGATAGTCTTTCCGAGGCATGCCTTATCGAAAAAACGTTTTATGATACCATAATAGTAGTAAAAGTCTTGATGCCCCTAATCCTATTTTTGTATGCGCATGTTGTTCCCCCTAAAAGTTAGTGTCTTTTACACAAGACTTTCGTGGATCTTTTTATAATTCTAGAAAACCTTGAATACTATAATGAAATTTGTAACTCACCTAAGGCTATCATTTATAAACATGTCGTGCATTTTTTAACTATTCAATTTTATTTGACAAAGAATATTTATCCTAAATTTTGTAAAGAAATTACTAGAATACGCCTATCTAGTCATTCATTGGAAGTAGAAAAAGGTAGATATGAAAAGCGTAAACGAGAGGAAGGTATTTGTAAATTATACTGTAACATCCAAGACATTGAAGATGAATTTCATTTTATCCTTAAATGCCCAAAATTTAATTCACTACCAATATTGTACATAAGAAAATATTATTATAGAAAACCTAGCGTCTTTAAACTTATTGAGTTTCTAAGTGTGCACAACCACTCTGAATTGATAAATCTTGGTAAATTTCTTTTCTATGCAGGAAAACTACGAGATTAACTCTGAATTTTTTTTTATTATTTGATGTCTTTAAGTTAATCTTACTCTCCTAAAACCGTGTTCGTATATTATGTATGTATTGTTTTGTAAAGTATGTATACACATGTATGTTTGTTTTGTATTTTGTACCTGATGAGTCATTGACTCAAAGGAATAAAGAATTGAATTGAGACTAAATCCACATTAGTTATTTAAAAGTTCTAATGAGACTAAATCTGCATTGATCTTTTAAGAATTCTAATGAAACTAAATTCACATTACTCATTTAAGTTCTAATGAGACTAATTCTGAATTGGTCATTTAGGAGTTCTAATGAAACTAAAACCCAATTGGTCAATTTAAGATTTCTAATGAGACTAAATCCACATTGGTCATTAAAGAGTTATAATGAGACTAAGTCTGCATGGGTCTTTTAAGAGTTCTTATAAGACTAAATCCAAATAGGTCATTTAAGAGTTTTAATGAAACTAAATCCAAATGGGTCATTAAAGAATTCTAATGAGGCTAAATCTACATTGGTTATTTAAGAGTTGTAATGAGACTAATACCACATTACTCATTTAAGTTCTAATGAGACTTAATCTACACTGGTCAAATTAAAGAGTGTAAATGATTTATAGAGTTCTAATGAGACTAAAACCACATTGGGCATTTCAAGGGTTCTAATTGTACAATGTAGTTAATTTGGTGGGTTTTTTTTTAGTATGAAGGAAATGGAGTAATATATATTTTACTTGACTTGGGTGCCGACATTAATACATGAGCAAAATACCACATACAAGGAACAACAGCAAAACTCATAATTTTGAAAGAATATGTGTTACATTCTTTCGAAATCAACTTCTTATATTTTTTTGAACTTTTATATAATCTGATTGAAATGAACAATTTCCACCAAAAATCTGTATTGATAAAGATGAATGAAAAAAAAGGCGAGGGAAACAACGGGGAAAAATCGCGAGAAAGCGAGAAAGAAGGAAAAGAAAAGGGCGAGAAATGCTATCGATGATTATATTCCTTTTGTTGTTTGCGGACGATCTATCTTTAGTAGCAGATTCTGAGGGGGGGTAACTCATTATATCCCCTTAATTGTGCGCTCATTATCACTCTAATGAGTGGGATGGAAATAAGAGATTAAATTTTAAAAATCATATTTTGTATTTTATGATATTGTATGTTTATTTATATTATATTTATTGTATATCATTATATATTTTATATTGTACATCTGTTTATAATACTGTAGGCTGAATAAATGATTTGATTTGATTTGAAGGAACTTTTTGGAATGATAAGGAGTAGCAAATAAAGTTTTTAATTCAATCGTATTCATTGCCAGGAAGTTACGTAGCAGATTTTATAATTGGGAGGTTTAATACCATATTTGGTGCTGGATTGATTTATCTTCTAGGTAGGAACCAAACTTTTGGCGCCCACTTAACCCTTGTAGATCAAAGAGAGAAAATACTCTAGCGCCTTTTGTTTTCAACCTTTTTTTTATAAATTTATATGATCTAAAAAATGCAGTAAAGAAAATTTCCGATTTTAACCGATTTTTGGTATTCTTGGTTTGCATGTATATGATTAAAAAAATTAGTTAGAACCTAGGCAGAATGCGACGATTTCGAAATTAAAAACAGATTAAACCCTTATTAATAATAATAACTCTCTAGTTTACATTGGTCAAAATAAGATTTAATGGTAATAATAATTAATATTTCCCGCGATTCGCTAGTAAAGCGGGAAATTATTGTATGTTTGATTTGTTAATGTAGACACGTGATAATTTTTTCAGGTTTCACAGAATGATCTCCTAACCAATATCACAACACTTATGGATGCAAGATTATCGGTTTTCCAACAAAATATACAGGCCTCCCAGAAAGATATTTCAACATTACAGATGAACCGAATTCAAGACACAATATGTGATAAATACTCATTTCAACGGAAGGGTAATGAGAATCAGTATCGACACGAAGCCAAAGTTTTAACAAAGCTGAGAGAAACTCAAGCACAACTTGATGAACCAGGGCTAGACATAGGCGGTTTGGAGGTAGCAAAATCAAAATTAAAAGAAGGTATTGATCTAGTTCTAGAGAGGCAGAAATTGATTAAATTGGCTGACTCTTCTGAATTGGGATGAAAAGTCGTGTCGGAGTACGTCGCAAATCCAATCGCCGAAAACTCAGACGACGAGAAGATTTTTAGAGCTCAAGCACGTGCTGAAAGAAAATGCAAGGCTGAAAAATTGAAGAAGAGGGCAACACAAATACCCCTTATCAACGAAAAGATAGAGAGAAATCATCGACCACAGCCGTTAAACCTGGTAGATGTTTTAGTTGCGGGAAATATGGTCACTGGGCGGACAATTGTTCTGAGAATAAAGAGAAGAAGTTAAGTACAATTTACCCTTTTGAATGTTTGAAAACTAAAGCTAATATTGAGCCAAGCACGCTCTTTATTCAAAACGAGGCTATCATTAACGGCATTATACCGTTACTTAATGTCGATAGTTTTAACGGTTCACTCAGTCATAACACTGCAGAGGTTTTGACACCGATTGGTAGGTTGAGAACATATAGGCGAATGGCAGTCTATAACTGACAATATTTACATTCTCGACGTCATCTGCAACGGATACAAAATTCCGTTTAAAACAGAACCAAATGATATTTGTATTAAGAATAATAAATTGGCACTTGATAACAGTGAATTCGTTCAATCAGAAATTAAAGCGTTGTTAGAAAAGAGGCTTGTAACAGAGGTTCAAACAAAGCCAAAAATTGTTAACCCTTTAACGGTTGCATCTAATAAACGGAAGTTGGGATTAGTGTTAGATTGTAGACACATCAATCCACATCTTTTCAAATATCGTTTTAAATATGAGGATTCAAAATTGGCAATTTATTTATTAAAGGAGATTATCTCTTTTCCTTTGATATCTGCTTATCATCATTTAGAAATTTTTGAATTACATAAACAGTATTTAGGTTTCTAGTGGATTTTCGAAGGAACGACAAAGTATTTTATTTACAATGTCTTACCATTCGGTATTTCAACAGCTGGTTATATTTTCACTAAAGTTTTGGGAGAGGTCGTTAAACATTTTAGATCGAAATGAAATAAACTCATCATGTTTCTTGATGACGGATTAGGTGGAGAATCAAATTTAGAAAAATGCCATGACTTGAGTCTCGAAGTCAGGAGTAAGCTTGATCAGTAAGGCTTTTTAATCGCACATGAAAAGTGCATTTGGTTTCCTTGTCAAAAGATTCAGTTGTTGGGTTATATTTGGGACACAGAATTGGGCCGAATTTTCGTATCAGCTCACCGTCCAAATTTGAGCCTTCAAATCCATGTGTGTCCAGAATTATCTGCGTCTGAATATTAAAATAACGATTCGTCAATTTAAGATAGTCTGTGATATATAGAGAAGACATTTATAGAAATAGTGAGTAAAATTTCTAGTTCGATGTATTATTTGTGAATTTCTAGTATTTCTGAATACCATTTACATATATTCAAGACTAAAATCAACCCCCCAAAATCTACCGGAAGATGCCAGATTTGTTTAATGTCTTACGCGATTTGGAGGTTTTATTTGTCAGTGTCGCAAGGTATGTATCTTTGTTTCTTCAGTTGTTTCCTAGATCCATGGTTTCCTAAAGATATCAACAATGGTAAAACAGAATAATTATATTTTGTATTAGCTGGTATAATGGGTGTTAATTTTATTGTGTTTGTGATAATAGCAGTTCATTATAAATATCGTGTTCAACAACCTCTAGTATCAATACCTGATGATGCTATAGAAGATATTAATATTACTATTGATGTAAAAGATTTTAAAAATGGAGGACCAACAGACTATAATTCTATCGATGCACGGAATACCAAATTGTAATGTTATAAACAATGTTTTCAAAAAATTGATATTTTTGTGTCCAATTTTAGTGTAATTATTTGAATTTCTGAAAAGTACGAAACCTGAATAATATCTGCATGGTTTAGGAAATTCCTGGATAGCTGACTTTATTACTGTTTCTCATATATAAAAAATCTTGTGTCCTATATCTGCCATTTAAATATCAATTTGTTCATAATAATATTAGCCTACATTCAACTGAAATGTTTGTTATTACTTATTTTTTTTTAAGGGAAAACGTTAAATGTGTTATGAAATAAAATAATAAATAATAACAATCTAATGGGAATTTGGCTGCATAACATTCATCATCTGATTTAATTTAATACTTAATTTTCTCTATACAGAGAGAATTAGATTTGAGTTGAAAAACTGTCCCAACTCTACCAAAAGTTATAATGGAAACTTATATCTTAACACAATGATATGCTTTAGTTCATATTGACCAGTCTGGTTTAAAGGAATCTCATCGTTAATCAGTAAAACATTTTGATTTGGTTTTTATCAATACCACTGTTTATTTGTCTATAAATACAACCTGTATGTATCACCTATGTAATTTTCATTTTTGAATTGAAAGACCTATTCTCATTATAGTTAATAGGTTTCTAGTTGAATGTTCATGACTTAAAGCTCTATTGCTCTTTCTTGAGTTAATCTGAGGTTGATCTCTAGCAATTATCTAGTGTCCATTTATTTCTATTAAAGGGTTAGAATACTAATAAAGACTATAAATACCGAGTTTGAACTTTATATCAATGCCAACAATCATCTTCTGGAATTAAATTCAACAGAATTAAGGCAGTTTAGTTAAGGTATAGGATTTAGAGTGTAATGAAATGGTGTTATGTCATACTTTAGTACTAGTAATACTCCCAAGTCATTTAAAGTGTACTTTGCATCAAAGAAAATCCATATAAGGTCTGTACAAGTAGACATCCTTTTTTATAAAAAAAATTAACTAAAAAATCTAGTTAGTTAGACCTTGTCTCTACTGTGTAAATGTGTTACTACAGAAACATTGCAACACTACAACACTAGCTTGGAAATGGGACTTAATTAGATTAAGATGAGCAAAGCAGGAAGGTACTGAATAAAATTTTGAAATCACCAAATAGTGCAGTCTCATCTCAAGTCAACTGACAATGGTTATCTTTTGGATAACTTGGAAATGTGGGTTTTATTTCCAATATCAGGAATATCAAACTGGCCTGAAATCTCATTGGCTTACAAACAGGGACAATGAAACTATGCTTTGTCAAGTGGGAGTTAATATTATAAAATCATTAACAAGTGAAATGTGATAAGCTGTCAGTAAATAGTAGTATTAGAAATGGTATGAAAACTAAACTTTCTCATCATTACAGTATATTATAGCTTAATGTATCATATAATCAAACTATTTCCACCTTATAAATTTAACTTTCATTTCTGTCACTAACTTTTTAGGTGATATCCATAATTTGAAGTGGGTGTCTGCAAATGAAATTTTTATTAAATATGAATTTTGGGTTTTGATTTTTTGTAATTTGAATTTAAATATCAAAGTTTAAATTTCATCAAATATCATACTCATATTGATCCTGATTGATAATTTAACTTTACAATGTATTGTTCAAAAGTAATCAAACTAGCTATAGTCAAGACATTTAGTGACAAATTGTGTTTGGACTACTATGGTCATCATATCCAGTAGAAATTGGTTTACATATTTTAGACTTATCTATATACCACATAAAACATTGTCTTGTATCCTATGACATCAGTCATAGTGTGTGCATTAAACAAATAGGGCTTTAGAAATACTTACAAACAGGATTATGAGCTAAATGTATTCAGGGACAGTTAAATAACAAAACAAGAACTTCAACAACTTCAAGATTATATTTAATATAAGAGCAGTATATACATATATATTTATTATTTACATGGATATAATTCATTCAGAGTATAAAGATGTAAAAATAGGCATGATTCTTTCTTTTTCCTTTTAATCAAGACTTCATTATTTATTCTGGCATTTCTAGCACTTCTTATATATCTATTATATAATATTTACAATAACATTATATACATAATCAGAACACTGAATGAAAACCTTAATCTTAACTAATTTCTAATCTTTTTACCTTGCAGTTACTGCTACTTGATCAATACTTTAATAAAAGACAAAAAAGTAATAAAATGTAAAAAAAAATAGTAATAAACTGTTTTGATTTTTATGTCTAGACATTTTATGAATTCCAAAATTAAAAATTTTAATTAAATATGTGACAATTATTATTAAAAAAAATCTGTAACTAAAGTTTACCTGAAAGTTTAAGAACAACAGACATAAGATTGAAAATTGGAATGAAATAAATTGATTCAAAGCTAGAGAATCCTCATTTGAATCTCCTTAAAAGTAAGATTTTACCAATAAATTGTAGACAAAGATGTTTCTTTCACTAGGTTTTTGTTTCTCTCAATATTTAGTAGAAATATTAAAGAACAATCAAATACAACTACTGTATAATATCTATTTTAGTATATAAATATAGGCCATCAAACATCATAAAAGCAGCTAACATGTAACCATCATTAATATAGTCTGTAACAAAAATTGATACTCCAGGCATGTATATTTTGGGAAAAGTCAAATCATCCCATACCCGTAATTACATTAGACTGTTCATGTACTTGTTCTCTTAAGATATGTTCTAATCAAGCAACAAGGAATTGTTTCAGTTATTACTTAAATATATAACTAACTGTCAGAGGAAATATTAATTTTGGGTTTTGATTTGTGGTAATTTGAATTTAAATATCAAAGTTTAAATTTCATCAAATTTCAGTTGTGTACAAATATCACTGACCAACCATATAATACATTTAAACCCACATACAGACCCATAATGTACTATTCCTATAATACGAATATCACTGACCAACCATATAATACATTTAAACCCACATACAGACCCATAATGTACTATTCCTATAATACGAGTATTAATAATGATATAATACTATAATATTTATCATCCAAGACATATAAGGTACTGGCAATGTAATACATCCATAATGGTACATATTTCACTCCCTAATTTTATACCAACCCTGTAATTTCCATTCACATATTTTATGATTTATTGCAAATTATGTGTGCTCAATGCTGCTAATGATTTATTTTATTATTAGATTTTTTTTAATTTCAAAATATTAACATAACCTTACAATATACCTGTAAATAAAACTATCTATAATTTGATCCCAAAGTCATTACCCAGGGATGCAAAAATGCAAATTAAACAAACTATTAATATAAGATATAACATGAAATTTGTATAAAGTTTTCTATTTTAGAGATTTGTGGAGATCCGAAATGTGTAATACATGTAATTTAGATCAAGAAGTTGTTCAATACATAAAATAACCATATTGGAATATTAACTCTGAGATAATGGAAGTTATCTGATCTTGTTGTTAAGTCGCAGAAAATCTCTGAAGTAAAAATGTCTGACAATTGTCACAGACTCGAACTGGTTTGGAAGAAGATGGAAGAGACATCTTATTATCTGAGCATTCATTACAATAAATATCACCACAGTTTCGACAATGATGCTGAAAGAAGAAAAGTTAAAGGGTATATGGATGTCTTTCTTCTGTTCACACAATGAAAACCTATCATAATCAGGAATTATCAGGTGTAGAATTTGCCCTCATATCTTATATATTGATGATTCATGAACTTCTATAATAATACTTGCTATATAAATAAATATGAGATAAAGGACAAATTAGGATAAAACTTTTAACATTTTCAAAAATTCTGAGCCTATAAAAACCAAACTAAAGTATGGCAACACTCAATTCACTCTACCTTTCTCCTTGATATAGAAAATTCTTTTTCACATTTTTTACAGTGTTTTGAATCAGTGTCATCTACCCATTGAGCTTCTTTTACAATTAGTTGATTTTCTTTTAAATTCTCTACTTTCATTTTAGAGCTGAAATAAAGAATATATGTCTACTGTAGAGGGTTACGGAGCCCCTAAGGCGCAATTGTAAACATATTTATTTATTATTTCGTTTAAACGAAATAATTATTTCGATTAAACGAATTAATTATTTCGTTTAAACGAATTAATCATTTCGTTAAAACGAAATGTTATTTCGTTTAAACGAATTAAATTATTATTTCGTTTTCATTTCGTTAAAACGAAATGTTATTTCGTTTAAACGAATTAAATTATTATTTCGTTTAAACGAAATAATTATTTCGATTAAACGAATTAATTATTTCATTTAAACGAATTAATCATTTAAATAATGATGTTATTTCGTTTAAACGAATTAATTATTTCGTTTAAATGAAATAATAAATAAATATGTTTACAATTGCGCCTTAGGGGCTCCGTAGAGGGTGGTATGGTTGTTTGAGAGGTTACTATAATCACTTTCTCACAGCTCTGTAACCTAGAAATATATTCAGATTTTTTAAAAAAACCATTTTTTACAGTTCTAAAATTGCAAGATGAATTTTACAAATTTGCCAAATTATTTCTGACAACAGGTTTCTCACAAATAAATAAATTACAGTACTTACTCCCCTAACTGTGAACCCAGTTCAGCTAAAGCACTCTCTTGTTCTTGGCATAATTCTTGTATGGAATGATAGCGTGTCTTCAATTCATTATACTCCTACATTATCATGGTAAGAAATAAAATATTGGTAATGATCTATACATTTTGATAATAATTTGTATCATATTAGTCTACAAATGGATTTATTAATCAATTGTTGTTCGTCCACAATGCTGATTTTCCTTATTATGATATAGCTCCATGGACAAGGCTAAGCATTCAATGTCATAGATAACACATGTAGGTTTAAATAAATACAGCAATTCTTTTGAATATACTTTTAGATATACTTTTATTGTCTTCATAGACATGTTTATTCCTGAGGTGAAGAAAAATTCCCAAATCGTGATGAAAGTTGGCAAATATTTTTTACCTTTTTAATTTCTTTCAACTGTTGTAACTCTAAGTGATATTTTGAACATTTTTCTTTCTCTGTTTCTAGAGTTTTCTGTAATGTTCCTCTCCATTCTTTTTCAATTTTCAAATCTGTTTCTAAGGCACTCCTGTAATACAAAAGTTTAATATTTACAGATAAAATGAGTGTGGCTGTTTCACATCCAAATTTAGACTGTAATATGATTATTTGATTATGGTCTAAATTCCATTAAACAGTTTAATTTGAACAATATCATCAGGGTTAAAAAAGCTATTTCCAAATTCAACCAAATTCAATTGCCTCTCCTTAAAATATGACATAAACTTGCACTAAATCATTCTATTAGACAATCAGGCAACTGGTTCCAATTACCAAAAAAGTCAACCACTTAATCTTCAATTTCTCAAATCATAATTTAGAATCTGCTTTTAGATTGTTCAAATACTCTTTTCTCCAACTTAAATTTTGAAAAATATATTAGATTTATAAACGATAGTTTATTATTCAAGAGTTTTTCTTCTAACTTATGTCATGTGACATGCTTATTATTATAGGTTTTTAAAGTGCGTTCAGATGACTAAAGTTAAGGCAACTTAACTATCAATCATTCTTGGAGCCTGTTTTTTTTATTCGTCTGAATGCAATCGGTTAATCTTAAGTTACCTTAAATTGCTCGCTTGAAAAGTCAAGCCAGCTTAGTTTGGCCATCTGAATGTTACTTGCTAACATTCAAAATGGCTAACTTTAGTCGTCTGAAAGCACTTTTTGACTGTAGGAATTGTTTGATGTTTGATTTCAATTAAAGTTTTGGTGATTTGGACTATTTCATTAGTCAGAAAAAAAATAATTTGCAATATGTAACCTCATAACTAATGGGTTCTACGAACTTAAACTAGTTTCTGAAGAGGTTTAAGTAGCAAATTAGGAATCTTTCCAAATAAAAAGCAATTGATAAACTTCCCACTACACCTTCAATCAACCTAAGTAGAAATTTTATTGCTTGATCTACTAGTACCTAATCCTTATATCATTTGACAACAATTAGTTCTTATAGTCCTATAGGAAATACATACTTACATTATAAAAGCTTATCAAACTCATTCAGTGTTTTCAATTATAAAGGAAATATTTCTTCTCATATTACACAGCAATCATGATCTATTTTTTTGCTCCAGCATTAATCTTATTGGACAATCAAGAGCAACATTTGATTTGCAGTACAATGTTAGATGTAATAGTACACTAGGCATGGTGGGAGTTATTCAACGAATATTTTCTTTGTTAAAATTAACAGATTCCCAAAAACCAAGATCTATCTACTCTCCTAAAATGTCCCAAGAGATATACTGTGCAACCTACATCTTAGACCTTCAAATATAATGAGTAGTAGAGCAACTTTCAAGGGGAATAATTATATAAAAATAATCCCTATATATGTGTATTTAATGATTGTTTTATACTAAATGAGGCAAAGATTTAATAATGTCTTGGGATTCAAAATTCATTTAAATCATTGTTATTCTGTACTGCTAAATACAACCTACAGAACCTGTTTTTCTCAAGTCACCTTTTTATGATTTGGACATGAAGTATCGTGTTCAAGTTACTCCACTAGCAATCAATAATGATATGATAAGGTAGTTCTTTAAATCATATTCTGTGTATTTTAACTCAATAGCAATTAAAGTCATAATTTAACAATAAAACAATTTTCATTGAAATCAGATTGACATCTTGATGGAGTTCTAAAAAAACTCCTTTTGTGATTTGGAATTTTAGAAACTACTGAATGATGTACCACATTTTCTGAGCAAATTGCCCAGATATTGTAGGACTATACATATACATTTTAAGTTTGATGAAAGTCAACTGAAAAATAATTTTCAGTATTGAATGATTGTGATTTAGTTTCAATTGGGAAAATTTTGAAATTTGGACTGTTTTTGACAAAATGGCAAATGAATTTTGCTTAATGTTCTTCAACATGAAAATTCTGTAGGGAATTATCAAATTGATAGCAACGAATACAAAATTATTTTTTTCTTCTCAAATATCTGCAGCTAGACATCAATTTAATTTCAAAAAAATAAAAGAATAATAATGTCTAACTATTGATTTAAATTCTGAAAAAAAGACATATTTCAAGCATGTCATGAAAATTATATTAATCAAAAACCAAAATAATAGAAATCTCAAATGACTTCATAACCTTTTAAATAAATGTTCTTTACAGCTTTAGTTCATATATAATATGAGTTTAATAACTTTAAAAAAAAGGAAATTAAGAAATTTGTCTGAATAATGAAGAAATATGTTAATGCATACAACAAGAAACATATTATGTTTGGAATGAAAATATTCCCTGATGAGACCTATTAGTGAGTAATGACCAAGATAATTCACAAATAAACTTTCAATAATCTCATTTAGATCATTTCTATTGACGTGAGTATAACATGTAAGTATAGAAAATATAATTTAATAAAACAAAAGATTTCAAGAAGAAAATCGCTGTTATTTTGTAATAATTATGAAACTTTAAAATGGCTAACTACATAATCAACAAATCCAAATGGATCATGAAGCCAAACATCTATCTTCGTAAAATATTTGTTTCTTCTTGATATTATAGATAACTACTACTGAAAAAAGTCCTACAAATCCACTTAATATCGAATTACCTTTCTTATCAGACAATAATGGTTGCTGAAATATTTGTGTTATGAATTCCTGATAAAAAAGTGATGTTGAAACAGTTAACCCTTTGTTAGTAAACTTTCTAAGATCATTTTGTCTGATTTACCATTAATTTTATTAGATGTTTGGTTAAAATTTCATTCCTCATTTAAATAAATTTGAGTTGTGAGAGACTACTTAATTGCAGTCAACTCAGTAACAAGACAATGATTGTTGAAAATAGCATAAAGATCACTAGTAACTCATTTCAGCACTAAATATAGGTAACATATGCCCACTGACTCTTTTAGTCGCTGATAAGTTTCCTAAGAGATAATCAATAATTTTGTCAAAATTCAAGCTAAAATCATTTTTTGAAGAAAAGGATAGTTGCACTGCTTTATTTGCAAATGTTTTTTTTTTTTTTTTTTCAATTCTGCTGCCATTGCCCAGCCTAAACTACCCATGCCACATTCTCACTTTTTCGATTTCCTTGTCAAACTCGTGAAACTAAATAATATGTATATAATTTGACGCACATATTTTCAACCGGAAATGACGTAGGATGAAAAGGTATTTTTTATTTTTTCTAATTAACGGCTTTAATTTCTATCTGATTTTGATCAGACTTTTTAAGTTAACTGCTTTGAATTAAGTTCTACAGGTTAGCAATTCAAGAAATTCAGAATTTTGAATTTTGTCGCTGACTCTTTGATTTTAAAAAAATTTTATTTTTTAACTTTTACAATTTAATTTCGATCAATCTGAAAATTTACAGGTAGATAGTCATTTTGATTGCAAAGTAAATTCAATTTTCATATTTTCCATATCACTTCCGGTTTTGACGTTATTCGCTTTCAAACTGAAAATTTCAATTTCCGGAATTTTGAAGATATACCCAACGGAAAATTTATCCAGTGAATTCAAAATGTTTTAAGGCCCATAATTAGTGACATTGACTTTTGTTGACCTTATGGCCCGCACAAAACTTGTTACCCCTGACGAGATCTATTCGATGGTGTCTTCGGTTTTGCTGTGCAATATAAACTTCCATGTTTATAGCCATTTGAAAATAGCGATTTTTAATATTAAAGAGCTGTGTCACGTGACCTAATTTACATATGACAAAATTTCTCATATATCTTTATTACAGGCTATCTCTTCTATCCATATGGTATATAATACTAGATATTTTGATAAAAATTGCGCTTTTTAAAATTTTGAACTGACTTCTATAGTAACTGTGCGTAATTTGACATTTGCCATAAAATCTCAAGCCTTTAACATGAAAGTATGAATATCTCATGATCTAATAACTTTAGACGCTTGAAATTTTTAACATAGCTGAGCATTGTAAACATTATAACAGATGTGACAAAAATTTAGGGATGGGCGTGGTACATCCGGGCTAAATTCACATTTACCTTATATATATGTTATTTATTTACTCGCAAAGTATATAATTGTCACCTATAATATTTTGCAGGTTAATAGGTAACTAGTTTGGCCAATATGTGGTAAAGGTAAATCTGTCTGGGCTTTTACTTTAAAAAAAGGAACAGGTTTTATAATTTACTAGATTTGCATTTTTGACCTTTATCATGGATGACCTTGAACTCTTCAAGGTCAAAGGTCATCGATCTATAATGTCAATTTATACTTTGATCTTTAATGTCTGACACCTACTTCTGGTTTTATAGGCTTCCAAAAACAGTTATTTTCAAAACTTTTAAGGCTCGTAACCTTGACCTTTGATGACTAGTGGTCTGACAAAAAGCCATAGCCCTTGATGAAATATATCACATGGTGCCTTTGATTTTGTTGTACGATGTCTACATCCGTTTTTATAGCCATTTGAATATTGCGAATAAGACACAAGCCGTGTGCCAGGAATATTCTTAAATGGTTGGAACATGGATTCCTATATTTCAATAATTCTAAATATTGAAAAGACTGATCCAATCCACACAAAAAAAAATCAAGTCTAAAAATGTACTTTTTAATTTTTAGAAAAAATAATTTAAAAATGTATTAGAATTGTATCGTTGACCAGTGAAAGGTTTTAAAAACATAGTGGGTATATAACGTAATACAACTAAGTAAAAACAGAAGGGAATGTTATGAAGAAGTTGTAGGATAGATACCTACATAATTCTATAAACTCCCAGAATGCAACTCACTGCTTCAGTGCCGTAACTTGTCAGCTCTAGGTTTTCCTTCAATTAATGATTCAACATTTTTGATAGTGTTTCTCCTTGATTAATTATAAACAATTACTAAGTTTAATTGTAATCTGACAATAATTGTGCCTTAAGTAATGTTGATAATTGATCATGTTTCAGAAAACAAGGGCAAGAATTTAGATTTAACATATTCGGTTTTATTTTTTTTTGAATAAATGATGATAATGAACAATACTAAAGATAGCTTGCCAGACAAGGTAACATACGCCCAGCTGTCAGAAATAAGAACAGTCTTTAGTAACTTCAATATGAATTTTATTCTTCTTCATAATATATTAATAAATACATTATTTGTTATATTTTTAAAATTTTTGTTTACATCAATAGCAATAACCCAAAAGCATTGAAAAATCATTGTATTAGAACTGGCAAATTTTCATCAATTTAAATTATCATAATCGGAATAAGAAAATAGGGCAATAATTCAAAATCCGTTCATTGAAAAATCATCAAATTTGAACTTGACCAAGATATAATGAATAAAAATTATCACACCAAATTTCATTCAAATCGAATGAAAACTGTAGTCTCTATAGTGCTCACGATCAAATTTTTTTTTACTGCCAAATATTTTTATTCAAAATCAAAAGCTGCCAGTGGGCGTATATTACCTTGCCTGGCAAGCTATCTTTAGAAATGTAAATGAGCCTTTTCAATTTAGAATTTCTATTAAGCACAGATTGACACTTTTCATGAAAAGATTTTTTAATTTTGATATTTCAGTTAATATGTTCTTTGCTACATTTTTGTTCAAAATTTTTTCTGATCACAATGAATACAAATGTTGTTTTTAACCTGCTTAGGAAATATAAGGCTCCTGAATTCTATATCACAATATAGCTATTGTGCTGAACAATTGTCCACATTCAAACTGTGTATGACCCCCAGCAGAGAGATTCCAACTGTACAACTTAAAAAAAGGATTGACAACAATAGTCAAATTTCAGATTTCTAGAAACATATAATCCTTAAAATATCTTTTTCACAATAAAATATTACATTTTTAATAATATAAATTGTATACTTTTTAAATCTCAATTCCATATACCTACCATTCACAACAATACCAAGTTTCATCAAAATCTTATAAAAAAAACTTTGATCTCTAATATTAGACCAGAGCAATAACTGAAAGAAGGCCAGAATAGTCAGCATGAAACTGCACTAGATAATCAAATCTAAATTTGTATGATGTAAGCCATTTAATCTTACAAATATAATCTGTTGTTTCATTCAGTTTATCCTGAAGGAAAATTAAACATTTCACTGAAGATTTCAAATGAAAGGGGGCCAAAAAAACATAAAATGACCCATGATGATTTTACAAGCTAAAGATACCCACTTTTGACCAAGCACAAATTTGTTATGGGACAAGTAATGATTCACAGAATAAATCTGCAGAGGTAACAGGGGAAGATATGTCATCACCTTAGTTGATTAATAACTAGAACAATTATCATAATTAATAATCATCATGAGACATTCGTTAACTATCTCACCCATCTGTGTTTCATTAAAAATATCAAATTTGTATATTTTGACACATATGGATTCAAGATCCATGTCACTGGTTGTGATTAGAAAGTTTGAAATCAGAAATATAAATCATAATCTTATTGTCAGAGATACACAATTTGAGTAAGTAATAATTCTTGATCCTTGAAAATCATATTCTTTTCTTTAGTTTTGATTGGCTAACTCAAATGAGAACTGATGTTCTTATTACAAGAGCTATTCCATATACCACATTTCTTTCTCTGATCAAATTAATGATGTTATATGTTACATATATTTAAATTTTCAAGAATCAGATCAAGGTGCCATAAAAGATATAATTTGACAATATCTTACCTTTTAGCATCTTTATCAGCCAGCATTTGACCCAGTTTTCTGGCTGTTTCTTCTGCTGCTTGTTTATCTGACTGGAATAGCTTAATTCTAAAAATATACACAAACATTCTAATATAAGCTTAGTTAACTTTCCAACTGGGTCCAATACATCAATTATATCTAGAATCAAGGTGAATGTATAACATCTGTGTACCATTTTAAATTTCTCTCAATATAGCTAGGACATGGATCAATTTGAAGGCAATTTCCTGTTACAAATTCAATATGGTCATGGATCCTAGATGATAAAAAAAACCTTCAACCTTAACATATAAATAAAGTTCAAACATTTTGTTAAAAAATGAATTGTCAATGTCTTGGTTAACTTTAAAGGAAACTACTGTCAGGAAAGTAAGGTATGAAACAGAAGATACCTATTTTCCATTTCTTTCATGGTTGCAATAAGCTGGTTTGTTTTTTCTTCTAGTTTTGTCACCATTTCTGTTTTATGTTTTAAACTTCCCTCACATGTCTACAAAATATGTAAGGTTTACTATTAAAGGGGTAGCTGTTCAACTCTTGCATATTTCAGAGTTAATTTTGGTTTGGTTCATCTTAAAAAGTCTTAATCTTGCATGGAGTTATCAATGAATTAGAACTGAGGTAGAATAGAATGTTATTGATAGAGAAACTCTGATACATTTATCTGCAATACTGGAAAAAAGAAGAATTAAAATGCAGGTTTCGATTCTGTTTTTATCTTGGAATTTAATATCATTGAGTTCCAGCATTACCAATTTGATTAAATCTATTTATAATATCTTAATTGAATAAAGTGAGTGGAAATCTCCACCTTTACAGAATAAGAAATAATTTCTCAAGTTGCAATAAACATGTTTATTATCTTACAAGACTTTGACACCACTTATAACAGCACTCTTATACGAAATATTAAATTAATATGATAAACTGAGAACGTTTCATAATATATGTGAAAAATAACCAATAGACTTAAATCAAATCAAAATTTGACAAAATCTTGTTAGCATCTAGATCATAATCTAATTACAGTTTCAGCAGAATTATTGAAAATGGTCACTTGAATTACACATCAATTTAATCTGGAATCATATTCCCTGTGAATGTCATGTGAAAAGGTGTTTAATTTTAATAACCCACGATGATGATGTGTGATATCTGGAGGCCTTGTGACGAGGAGAGAGTGAGAGGCTTGGTCAGTTGAATGGTGCCACCCACAAGTTCTAATGGAATATAAATATATGAAGGATGACAGTGTCTTTCTTTATAAAATTATCTAGTTGACTGTCAACAGGAGAAGTTGTATATATAATTGTTAGAGAGAAGCATATATAAGACTAGACAGTTACAAGTCACAGGTTAGTTTAATATTATTTCATTATCTTATTTCATATAATACCAAAATTCACCTTTAAGAATGTTATTGAAAATACTAATGAACCATTTAAGAAATATTTTAAAAATTTTATGGGTAAAAATGATTATTGATTATTTTCAACCAACTTTCCAACCCAACAAATAATGTTGTAATAAAGCCAAATTTTTCTGAGTGGAATTATTAATGGCATGAAATTATTGGTTACTACTATTATGATAAATTAATTGGCCTATGTGAAATCAATTATTTTGTTGATTTTTCCTTGAAAAAAGTTTTGTGAGACATAATTTTACATATATTTTCTGAAAGAAACTTTTGAGGAGTTCCTTAACTGTTCTATTCTATGTTCCAATTGTCAGTGTTAATCTACTTGTTCCTACATGCCATAGTTTTCACATTTAATAAAATCAACTGGCACGGCTCATGATCAATTAGTTAATTCAATGCATAGCAGCCACAGTCAACTTAAAAACAAAGGGTCATTTTAAACGACGTGTTTGCAATTTTCCCTTGCTGGACGCTTTCTGTGATATAATGTTCTAATTTAATGAAATCAAGACCAAATATTATAAGTCTGATATTTACTTAATTCATTCAAAATATTAAGATTCTAAGCCAAAAACTGTAAAAAAGTAAAACAAAGGTCAAAGATGCTTCTATAAAATACTCACACCATATTTTTATGTGTCTTTTGATCCCCTTTTGTCAACCTTTTGTCTGTTTTGCCAGCCTTGTTAGGAACATGAGACATTGAATTTGGTTAATGGTTGAGAATCATGTTTTGGGTTATTTATTTTATGCTAAATATCATGAGTTGTTTACTTTAATTGAAATGTTTTAAAGAATCCTGCACTCAATTTTTATCTTATTCTCTGTCAGTGCTGTCTCAACAGTAAAGCACAAACATAATTAAAGTTATAACACAAATATAGAAGCTACTCAAATTTAAAATGTATACGATTATGATTTGCACAGATTTGCCTGTTTGGTGCTTAAGTTGAAGATTAACATTTGGATTAGAAGTTTCGTGTAAATCTGATCATTTGATAGTTTAATTGTTTTCAGCTAATTGGTGTAGACGTTGTAGGTGAAAATAGGAGTCAACGTTAAAATAAAATTCTAATTATTTCATTGAAGTCACTGTATTATCTTAATCTACACTGAAATGTCAGATGTAAATGTGGACAGTATTGTAAGCAACTCGCTTAAATGTAAATGTAATAGAAATATCAACGTTGTTGTATATTCACAAAGTTCTATAACATGTGACATGAAAACAACTTTATCAACTTTATTGTTATAAGTATACCTATCTATTCAATCATTATCATTTATCTAACTAATGTATCAAAGATATTCATAAAAGTGAAGTTTAAAATCAACTTATGCAATCCTGCTACAGATTTTGAAGTGTCAATTAAAAAAAGCTGTATTTACCATTGAGTGGTCAAATAACTGATAGAAGTTGAACATTGACAATTTCAAAGCAACAAAAAAATCAATGGTAACAATATAAATTTTATTCTATATTCTAAATTTCATATCTGTAAAATTTGTCAAGTTGAAATATATAAAACAGATATAGTAGGGATGTAGGTAATAATAATAATATTCACCTCAAAACCTACAATAATTACATAAATAGATTAAGATTGATACCATTGATATCAATTACATTGTTAATTCATAGTTTTAGTAGATAAACAGTCACTTATCTCATTTATAAGCTATTGAAATCTGAGATGAAACTAATAACTCACTTTTTAATATCTAATTTTACAGAATCTAATGTTTTCTGTTCAAATCAATTAAGAAATGGCGTGTTGTCCATAATTCATAAGTGTTTTATTTCAGTTTGTCATTTCAGAAGGTTGGAAATATTGGCATCATCATTGCACTTATCTTTAAAGCGATATGTCGATAAGCTCATGTGAAATTTTGAATGCCTGTACCAAAAAGTTGAAATTCAAATGTGTTCGATAATCAAAAATCATAAATGAACATAAGAGCAAAATAATGGGAAAGTCACTTTACTTCAAAAAAAATCTGTTAGTCATATCACTTGGATTGCTGGAAGTAACATCATTGATATTATCTTAGAAAAACTATTCATTCATGTTTCGTGACAAATTTCTTAAACCAGATGGAATTTTTTCATTTCTGAAAGTCAATTTCTTTTATGTCAATTCCCTTTAGTCAGACACAAATTGCAACTGAGAAAGAAAATCTAAAAGTTTAACACTTTTCTATGAACAAATGTCTTGATCATCAATCCTGTTGCCACATTTTTTATTACATGTTCTGAAGATATATGTTCTAAAAACAATACATTAATCTTCATATGAAAGTATAATTTGTTCTCAAGACATTAGCTCAGATGTACAAACGAAATTGAGATAATTAAAGGGGCATTCTGTTTTTTCATAGGTTAAAATTTTTTTTGCTTATATTTGTGAAACGTATACACTAAAATTTAGAGAAATGTGTCCCTTAACACATCTGAAAGGTTTTTTTTTTTAAAATAAAATCCAGCTAAAACTATTTAAAAAGTTTACGTAAACTTTTCAAGTTTGTTATGTTTTTTGGAAGCTGTGATATAAATACTGTAGGAATTAAAGTAAAATAAACAACTATAAATTATAGAGAAATATGTCTCCTACGTATTCTAAAGGTTTCAACTAAAAATATCGAGCTATTATAAAGTCAAACACCATACCTATGTCAAACTGCTTAATTAAAAATTATTAGTTTAATTGACCCTTTTAAAACAAATCAGTTTGATCAAGTAGATACGTACTTTAGAAATATATTCAAGTATAATTCTTTTTGATAATAAAATTCTGCATACTGCCCCTTAAGTCATTTGACTGATGAATCCACTTAATTTGAGTCAAAATTTCAAACTTTACCTCTGTTAACACTAATCACTATAAATCTAATAAAGATATTTTATGTATCATTGGATGCAAGGAATGTACAAGATCAATGTATATTAAGAGTTTTCATTTTTCTACTATCAGTTCACTGGAATCACAACCACATTGTTTGACCAAGTAAATAACGATAAGGATCCACTGATATTGATAAACTAATACTGAATGATTCAACTTGAATTGATACGTATGTCAATACCCAAAACTAAAATATTTAAATTTATTTTAGTGTTTGTATTTGAAACTAAATAATTTTTAAAAAAATTTCAAATATCCATTCTGCCAATTATTTCTAAATTATCTTTAATTTTGAAATCATTTTTTATAAGGAGGAAAAGATCAGTTTCTATCAAAATTGAATGATTGTGACTAATTTGGCTATTACCAGAAATGTAAACCATTGTTTGTCAATGAAAATTTACAAAAAAACTATCTCTGGAAAATATAACACCACCCACACACAGTTGTCAATTTTGTAAATTTCTTAAATAAACTTCCATCAATTTTCTATGGCAATATATACTGGGTCTAGACACTGGGATTATTCAGTGTCAAATGTGGGTGCAAGTGTTTTATTTCAACCTCCTCAATAACAGACATATTGAACTCTATATTCCAATATGTGATAAATTAAGCCTTTTTGAATGAACTTAAATAAAACTTTACTATAACAGTCAATTTGTGAATGGGCAAGCGTTTAATTCGTCTTTTACACTGAGAAATGCCTATTCAAATATGAAATAGCAGTGGAAGCTATTCTAGATTCCTACCACAGCATCTAACATCACTGAAATCCCTGAGTGACACACTTACTCATTTATAGATCTGGGTTTTCACATTTCACAATAATGACTTTTGCCATTAGAAAGGATGTTACTTTCAAGGTACCATTCAAATAATTGAGAAAAGCACAGAAATAGGCTAATGGGCACCCAACTGACAATGTTCTTGAATATGAATCTGAAAAGAGATGGGGTCCTACGGCCCTACAGCTTAAACCAATTTAAATTCCATGAGCAGCATTAACTCCTAAATTGCTTCTTTTTTTCATTTCAGAACATAAGAACAAAAATGATGCCAGTACCATTAAAGTATTTTGGACTTGCCTTAACGCTTGCCTTAGTAACAGAATTAGCAGTTGGACAACATTATCATTTTAGTAATGGTTGGAAATCAGGAAGA